CGTGTGATGTGAAATATCGACAAATATTATTATATCCAAGATTTGAGAAACCTAATAATTTTTTAGTTGTATGAAAAAGAATTAATGAATAATTAAGCAATAAATTGAAATATAATAAATATAATAAATATAAATAAAATAGATAAATTTTATAATTTTTTTATGCAATACCTCTCCGTAATGATTTTGAATTATTTGATGTTCTCAATAATCCATTACAATAATTAAATGGTGATATAGTAGATATGTTACCTATTATTATTATTATTATGAATTTATTATTATTTTCATTTTTTTTTTTTTTTCATTTCATAAATCAGAAGTAATAAATAAAAAATAAAAATAAAAATAAAAAAAAAAATAAAAAATATTTACCAGAAAATTTAGATAACAAATCTTGAACTTCGTAAGTTGAAAAAGAAGGATATGTTTGTAAAAGATTGATAGCATCTACTAATGCTTCAGTAGTTATTGATTGAATATCTTGACTAATCTTTAAACATTCTGGTAATTCTTGTGGCTATTAATTATTTATTTTAATAATTTATTTTAGTAAATTTTTAGTAATTTATTTTAATAATCTCAAAATTAATGAAAAATAACGAATTAACGTACTGATCGCTTAAGAAACGTATTAGAATTCGATTGATGATTATTTTTTGTGTTTATCGATGAAGGTGCAGCTCTAAGATATTGAAGTATCAAAGAAGGTTCTGACAATAACGCATTAAGCTGAAATTTATACATATTATATATATATACGCAGTTAATAAAATTATCAAATAAAAGAAATAAAAAAGAAATTAAATTTTTTTTTTTTAAAAAAAAAGGGAAATTAAAACATTTATGTAACAGAATTCATATGTTAGATCACTTTATTATAAAAAATGTACCTGCTGCGTCAAAGAGACACTGGTTTGAGCTTGCATTAGGACTTGAGTTTTTTTTTTATATTAAATATATTTATATATATACAACTTTTCACAAGATATAATAAATTTTATTTTATTTTTTTATGAAATTATGTTATTATTAATAAGTATTTTAATGAGTATTATTAAAATATGTAAGATCCTTTATAACGATAAGGTACGATTGACTACGGTAAGGGAAACGGTCTTTTAAAGAAACTCT